TTTTCTCAAAGAAGACTTGTCAATGAAATACAGTGTTTTTTGGGGAAGGATTTTCTTTTTAATATGACTGCTATTTCAAGTTCCTTTTGCTGAAGACAAGTCAAAGATGCATGTTAAAGATGTGTATCTTACACTTAAAGAATAAGCAGATTAAGTATTTATTGATTTTTTGGACAAGAGGTTATTAGATCCACAATGTCGATCAAGTCTTTGTGAAGTTCCCCCCTGTTGAGCTTTGCCTTTGTGGGTGGTAAAGTTTCCGTGTGTCTGAGGAGATGAAATGTGATGCGTTCTTCTTGCCCTAGAGCTTTAAGTTTTCTCTTTAGTTTTTGCTCCAAGCTACTGAGAATCCTACCAGTAAAAACAAGGTTTTGGCTGGTTGCTTTTCTGTTCTCTGAGAAGCCACCATACAGACAGGAGAATAGATTTTAGATCTGCGCTATAATGTGCATTGCTAAGAAACTTGCAGAGTTTGTTGAAGGGCAGTGGCTTCTTGCCCAAGTACATTGCACTGCTGTATTTAAGCTGCAAAGTAACCAGGTTGCACATAACTGATGTTGTGTCATTTCCTGCCTGGATGAGATGGAGTTGCTCAACTGGAGATGGAAGAATACTTCACTCTCAGAGCCTTCTGGATATGAACTTGACATTATTGTGGAACTCAGGGCTACTGATAAGTGAACTGAGTGCAGTGATTTTGTGTGTGTGTCTTCAGCCAAGGTGACTTTATGGTCTGTATAGTGGCTATAAAACCCCATCCAGCACCATTTTGCTGTTCTTCCTTGAGCTCATTTTAGTCTATCTATCTGTATTATCTCTGAGCTGACATCTTCCAAGACTGGACATCCTTATGATAGCAGTATAGCTGTGAGTGCTGAAGTTGTTACTCACTGGGTGGATCTCTGCCAGGATCTTGCTTCATCAGGTGAGATGGTAGTGTCTCACAGCTGACGGGAGAAAAGTCATGGTAGAGGAGGAGCCTGCTGGTCCAAAGAAAGTGTTAATTTGCACAGCTATGGTTCTTATGTTTTGCTAGAGATTTCTAAATGTATTTTCTTTAAATGCCACTGCTCAAAGTATGTATTACCACTGCTGGTGATAAGTGTATGTAGGGCAAGTTCAGGTGCCATTGTCTAGTTCCTAGAACTGGAAGATAAGGTAGTCAGCCTCCCAGAATGTCTTGAGCAGAGCTGTTCCCAGGAAGGAACATCTATGAGGAGCCAATGGTGCTGGCAACACTGGACATGTGTAAGGAAGATCTGGTAGTGGGAATTCTGGGAAGGGCAGAAAGAAGGAAAAAATGGAGCAGCAGCTCATAAGGGAACAAACAGGAGGTGAACATGTTGGCAGCAGCTTCAGAAAGGTAGTTGTGGAGGCTTGAATGTTTCTGTGTCAATACAGTGCTGTATAGAGGAGGACACGTTCGGCCGCTCAAGCAGTTGTTCATGGCCAAATGCCTTTTTCACAATTTTTTAAAGACTGCTTACCAGAATGTCTTTGGCAGATCTGGCTGCACTCAGACCTGACTGCAGGTCAGGTCTAGAGTTACTGGTTACAACAGTTGAGATGGCTAACACCTGTTTGATCAGGTTTGATCAGGTGGCTAATCATAGCCACCTACATAGCCGTTGGCTATGTAGCTTCCTTTTAAAGGGTGGAGGTTCAGCTGTAGAAAGGAAGGCTAGTGTTTGTCCTGTCTTAAGGTGTACTTAGCCAAGCAGAGCCCTCAGAGGGAAGGGGAGATTGTGCCAGCTGGAGTGCAGGGTAGAGTAGTGAGCAAGACAAAAAGGATGAGGGACTGCCTCATTGAGTAAGAAGCTGGCATAAAAAGCAGAAATTTGGAGTCTCTTGAGAGAAGGCAATAGCACAAACATAATTGGATCTTAAGGAATAAAAAGAGAGGATTCTCTGTGTCTCCCCAGAAATGACTCTACAGAGTTTTGCAGAGTTTTCTGCAACCCCGGAAATCAGAGTTGCTGGAATAAGAGCAAGCCTGAAGAAATGAACCATTTTCAAAGACATGTGAGCAGAGAAAACTTGGGTTTCAAAACCTTTTTTTTTTTTTTTATAATTCCATTTTACCCAGCAAATGTAAGTTTTCCTTCTTTATGTTCCCTTATTCTGCTTTGTTTTCTAATAAAGATTTTTATTAGATTTCAAGCCCATTTGGTGTTGGGGTCCTCCTGCAGCTGTGCAGTTTCCCTATTTGACTGATTTCCTGGGGAGTCAGAAGCAAGGATCTTCCTGTGGTTGCATTTGGGACATAATCACTGCCTTAATAGTATTGTAAATTTGCAGTACCTTTCGGGCAAAGATCTGAAGACAACCCCCAGGGTGCAGGTTACACATTTTGCTTGTTGGATAGAATGTCTTTGCTTAGCTGACACTAAAGGCTGAGCATTCAACAGTACTTACAGGTTGTCAGTAGTGTCTGTAACACATTAGAGTCAAAGGCTAAATGGTTTTTGACCTTAAATCAAAATACATAGAAAGTAGGGCAAAAGATAACTTTAGAGATAGCCATTACTTACAATTTTTATTCGTAACTAAGTTCCTTTCTGATGACAAGGTGGAAGAAGTGGGCTGATAGGGGCTACAGTGAGGGAAGGATTAAATTTGAGAATGAGAATTCATTGTGTAGAAGAAAACACTGTAAATTGAAGAGAGCGGTATGGGAGAAAAAAACAAATGATATGCAGACCTTGACTTTGGCAGAGCAGGGAAAGTATAGGGAACCTAGCAGGAGACCAGTTCTGAAATGTAAGCTGCATCTGGCTTGTCTAAGACTTGAAAGAAAATGATAGCAAAGGGAAAAGTATTTTTGTATTCTGTTCCCACTCACAGCAGAGTTAGGTGTTGTTACTAACTTGGTTTTAGGTGGACTGTACGAGGCAGCTAGAGCCTGAAAGCTAGGAAAAAGGAAGACATCTAAAATATTCAGATTTGAATAAGGATGTTATTACAGAGGATGATCTTAGTGATGACATGTCAGACTTTGGAGGAAACGGACACAGTTCCTATCTAGATATGGGGAGATATGAGGAGAAGGAGTTTGCAGGGTAAAAGGGAATAATATCTTTGGTGGAAATAAAAAGAAGAGGAAATGGAATCAGTGATACAAACCTGAAATATCAGTAGAGGGAGGAACTATTAAGAAAAAAATCTGCTTATGTATATAGATACAGTTTTGCAAATAATCCAGGTGGGGATAAAATTTAGGAACAGGCATAAAATGTGCAATGTTGCCTTCGCAGGCGTGGCGACCTGGTTCAGGAACGGCACGGCGACCAACCCCAGGCCGCTCGGGCCATCAGCTCGCTGACACCAATGTGGTGGACAGCAAATGGCATTTATTGGTGTGTGACACCGCATTATATAGCTTAGGTTTATAACCTCACTTCCATCTGCTTGCATCATAAACTAAACGCTATTGGCTTTCAGGAGAGGGGCCCTTACTTTCCGTACAGCGCGATATCTTCCGGCCGCCAGACCCTAGCTATCTACAGTGCAACTTAATTTGAAGGGTTGTGAATTTAGAAATGTGAAGTCCTTTACAAGTCCTCCACACCAAATAAAGATTCTGGGACATTAAAAAAAAATTACATAATGAAAGAGCACTTTAGCAACAGAAATCCTGTAGGAAAGGATGGAGAAAGAATATGGACTTCCAGGAATATTTTTCTGCCTATCTGCCTGTTCTTATCTGTGTCAGTCTGTCATTTTCTGGGCTCTTGGCACTTTTGAAAATCCCGTTCCCTGTGTCCTGGTTTCAGCCAGGATAGAGCTGGTTTTCTTTGCAGAAGCTAATGTGAGACTATGACACCCTGTCAGTGCCTACTATTGACACTCCATTTCCATCAAAACTTTCTGTCACTATCTTCTCTAGATTTGGCAAAATGTAGTCATCTTCTTGTTCCCCTTCAGCCATACATCTCTGCCTCCCACATTCCTCTAGGCCATATTAGATTTTTAGCTTCCTGAGCTGTTATATGTAGCTTCCTTCTCTCCTATATATATGTGTGTGTGTGAGTATGAAAGCTTTACAAGACTATTCCTTTCTTATGTTGTATGAAGGTTGTTTTGACTGCATTAACTCGACAACTGTAGCCTTTTTGTTACTATATTATAAACACATATTTGGAATTAGAGTCCCAAAGAAATTTTTGGCAATATCTTTTCTGGAATCCATGCATCAGAGTTCATGGCCAGGTTTTCCTCATGGTGCAAGGGAGAGAAGGGCACTGAGAAATAACATAGCCATAAGGCTTCCCAGTGATTGGGAAGCCTTAAATAGCCTGTAAAAATGACAACAGGTAGGCATGATTGTATCTCTCTCCGACTTGAGCACAGGGATTTGGCATGAAGCACAGTGCCTTCCTCCACTCAGGTCTCACAGTAAATTGGAGCTGCAACATGTTTGATGAGGGTGAAAGGCAGTTAAAGAGGAGGGTTAGGCAGTGGAGGTGTGTGTTTGGGGGTGTGTCTGTAGGAAGACTATTACCAGGCTCTGCATGATGGTAGAATGAAGATGGGCAGAGATGTGCCCGGCATGTAATCTGCAGCATTAGCTGTATTTGTGACTGCCGTTTACAAATCTGAACTGATGCAGCTATGAAAGATGTTCATGTAGCAAGAGGTTTGCAGCTGAGTCTTGGCAATCTAGCTAGGATCTAGGCGGGAAGGCCTTTGTACCAGGCTTTTCTTACAGTGATTTCTCAGATATCTAATCCAGAAGTACAGGATTTATAGACTCATGGACTCGCTCCTGCAACCTCCTGTCTTTCTCCACTTACATGTTTGTATAGCCAATAGTTTCAGATTCAGCTCTTCTGTGTACTTTCTTATACGTAACAAAATTTTAAATTCTAGTATAACCTGGTGCAACTGTACTAAACATGCAGATTCTCTACTAAATGTGTAACTATCACCTTTCCTGTGGCTTCCTCAGGTCTTGGACTTAAACTGGGTGTGTTCTTTTCTTTTCTCTATTTGTGTAACAGCAAAAGCGGAAACTGAGACTTTACATCTCCAACACATTTAATCCTGCAAAATCTGATGCTGACGACTCTGATGGCAGCATTGCTTCATGGGAGCTGCGAGTGGAGGGGAAGCTCCTGGATGACGTATGACTTACCTATGCTTCACTGGGGCTGGCAAGAATCTAGAGATTTTCCTGTGGGGTGGTAGACTTTACTGGGGACATCAACTCAGACAAGACATCTCTGAATGGCAGCGTTGGCTTGCTGCTGCTGGGAAGGCGTCAGGTCCAGCCGGAGTGAGGGATAAGGCCATAATTGGGAATGTTGGGGAGGGCAGCAGGAAATTGAGCATACTTAAGGACAGGACAGGTAGGAGGAGGTGGAGGGAACAGGGCTGAGACAATTCCCTTAAAAGATATGGCAGGGTTCAGGTCATGAGAGGTGTGGTAAGTCAGGCCTACAGCAGGCATTTCATCTTGTGAAGAGTAGGATAGCCAGGAGAATCAAGTGGTTCCTAGGGAAGACAAGAGAGGTCAGAGCAAAGATGGAAGAAAACTTTTACCATTCTGGAGTCCTCAGAAACCTCAGTGATGGATTTAGCTTTCCTCAGGGAAGGCTGGACTTTCCTAATAAAGGTGTCACCTTTTTGAATAGACTTCGCAAGCTAAGTATTTGATAGGATGAACAAATGGAGAACATCCATGTATGGAGAGGGCAAGGCTTTTGAGGCATGTCTGTCTGTCTGTAGATAACTGTACATGAATCAGAACCATAATCTTGCTGGAGGATGAAGGGGTGACAACGTGCAACGCCTGGAAATTGCAGTTAGACAAATCCAGTTTAGAAATTAAAGCATATGTGTTAACAAGGAAAGACATTCTTCATTGGAACAAAATAGCTTCTCAGTTACTGGCAAATTTTAAATTGAAGGAGGATGTATTTCTAAAAGATTATCTGCATTAAATAAGAAGAAATTAATTGAAATCCTGTGGACTGTATTCTATGGAAAGTCAGATTATGTGATTATAGACTTCCTGGTTTTTAATTTAGACAGTATGAGCTGTGTAGTAAACAGCAAACACTGATAAAGTGGAAAGGCAAAATGTAAAAGGAAATACTTTTACTTAGTGTATGATTAATCTGTAAAATGTACTGTAATTTGATAAATCAGACCAAGAAATTAGCATTCATCAAAAAACCCAAGCTGTTAAAAGAGAAGGTATGCAGTGGCCTTAGATTCATAGAATGTATTGGGTTGGAAGGGACCTTCAAAGATGAGCTAGTCAACCCCCGCCTGCCATGGGCAAGGACATCTTTACCTATATCAGGTCACTCAAAGCCTCTTCCAGCCTGACCTTGAACACTTCCAGAGATGGGGCATCCACAACTTCTCTGGACAACCTGTTCCAGTGTCTGACCACCCTCATCGTAAAAAATGTCTTCTTTATGTCCAATCTAAACCTCCCCTCTTTCAGTTTAAAACCATTGCCCCTTGTCCTATCGCTACAGGCCCTGCTAAAATATCTGTCCCTATCTTTCTTACCAGTCCCTTTAAGCACTGGCAGGCTGCAGTAAGGTCTCCCTGAAGCCTTCTCTTCTCCAGGCTGAACACCCCCAACTCTCTCAGCCTGTCCTCCCAGGAGAGCTGTTCCAACCCTTGGATCAATTTTGTGACCACCTCTGGCCCTGCACCAGCAGGTGCCATGTTCGCATTGCAAGCCAGTCTGTTCCCATAGCATTAAGAGAGTCAGAGAAATCTTCCCTTAAGTGTGCACTGTTCCACCACTGTTAGATTTTTGCATCTTGACCTGTATTAGTCAAAAGGAAAACTTAGATTAGATTGATCACATTTGTGGTCTATATGGGAATTAATGTTCAAGAGAAGGAGAAAGCCTGAGAAGGAAGGATAGGACACAAGCTAATATACACAGCCTTAAACATTTCTGTTTCTTCTGGTTGTACAGCTCAGCAAACAGAAACGGAAGTTTTCATCTTTTTTTAAGAGTTTGGTTATTGAACTGGACAAAGATCTTTATGGTCCTGACAACCATCTTGTGGAGGTAAGAAGGTCGTGCACCCTTTGCATACAAACCTGATACTAGCACAGAAAAACAGCTATGTGCCCATTGTCTACCTTGGTTAAGTTACCTTGTATTCATTCTCTCATTTAAAGTATTTTCAAAGTTTTCAAAATTCCATTCTTTTTAAGAACGTTTACTAACAGAATCTATATAGTCTAAACCCATAGATGTGGTAGCAATGTAGTGCACATCTTAGAGAATGTATGAAATGATGAAAAAATTGTGCATGTTTTTCCTAACAAGTAAAGCATGCTAACAGCAGAACAGATTGTGCACTAAAGCTGAATTGTAAGGCCAGAGCAAGAAATGATTGAGGGGGGGCTTTGTTGTGTGGGGTTTTTGTGTGGGTTTGTTTTTTTTTTAATTGCAAGATCTTCAGAAGGCTTTTACTTATTTTGGTCTTGCATGACATACTGTGCAAGGTGCACTTCATGGACATCAGTGCAAAAAAGACTGACCATTTTACTTGTTTTCTTCTTTGGCAGTGGCACAGAACTCCCACAACCCAGGAAACGGATGGTTTCCAGGTGAAAAGACCCGGTGATGTCAGCGTGCGGTGCACGTTACTCCTCATGTTGGACTACCAGGTCAGTGCACTGCTTTTGGCATGGAAAATACAGCCATTGGGACATAGTGCAACAGAGCAAATTCATCCTGTCACGTACATCAAAAAACAATATACTTGGACTGAGAATGTCACATAGTCCATTGAGGTTAGAATGATACCAAACTGACAGATTATTTAAAATTTAATGGGGACACATCAAGTAAGTTTCTATTATGGTCTATCAATCTATCAAAATATTATTCTTGGCACTATGGTAATTAGTATTTTTATTGCCCACCTGCAGAAAGAATACGCATTTCCACCGCAGGCTTCTTAGAGAATATTCAGATAAGTTGCACATGAGTTATGTGTGTGGTCCTGTACAGAAATTCAAAGGAGTGGCTTTTGCTAGTGGTACCTGAACTAGCTGTGTAGCTGTGGCAGCTTTTTTTTTTTTTTCAGAACAGACTGCACAGCTTTCCTGGTTTGTTAAGTTTTGGTTACATTGCCACCCTAATCTGGCATAACACAACACCCCTGCAAGCATTAGACTTGCCATTACTCTTAGGCCTTGTTAGTCATTCGAGCTTTCACTCTGTTGTACTAGTAGTATTTGTGGGCTGAAACACAAACAAGTCGGGGAACTGATCCATTTGAAAACTAACAAAACTTACTTCCGAATCAGTTCCCTGATCCCAGTCACAGTGTTAAGGGAGAAGCTACTGCCCGAGCATTCACACACCGATCCAGGAGTTCCACACACGCCACACGAAACTTTCACTGCTGGGACCGGAGTCCTTTCACACCGGGCGACTCCAGTGCCCCTGTCAACTCTTCACACAGACACACAGAAAGACACAGAGACAGACAGACACAGAGACAGACAGATCTCCCCCTCCTCCACCCCTGCCCCCCCCACCTCAGGCTCGGCCCGAGGTTTCCCCAAGCAGAATCTCCAACATGACATACGCCAGACAAATTTATTAGGTGGTACAGTGGCGTAGAACAGCTCGAGCTGGGTGCCTCTGGAGAGGGACCTCAAACAAAAGAATCTCTGGGCAATTATACCCGTACAATCTAAGTTCCCCTCCCCTCACGAGACAGTTAGGTTAACTAGTAGTATTTGGGCCTGGGGTCTACTTGTTCCTCACTGGATCCTTTCACTGTCTCCAGGTGGACCGTTCGTTTTCTTTTCTCAAGGAGGCAACTTCTGCTGATGGATGTGACTCTCTTCTCTTTCTAATTTACATTGGTTTTAGGGCCTGCCCTCATGTAACTAAGTAAGAGTGCAGTATAAGTTCATCAGTATGTAGGTGAAAGATCACAGCTTGCAGCCTAAGGCTTTTTACTAATGCCGTACAATGGATTCCATTTGAACTAGGAAGTGACTCCTATAAGACACAGGAAACAGGAAAAAAAAAAAAGGCAAAATTAGGTTATTCTGCCTTAGGATAGAATACAAAAGAGGTTCGTGGGCATAGGTTCAAACTGGTTTAAGCTTTGTAAGGCTAAGCTGCTCCAAAAAAATAACTTTCATTTCAGTTGTGGATGTGCACTGCCACAGTCTCCATTCTCTTGACACAAATGATGGGGATTTGCAGTTGTGGAGCTCACTAATCTGAATGAAGTCATCCCTGAAAGAAATGTTGCTGTCTTAAGGCAGTTGATAGAAATGCACTGCTGAAAGAAGATAGGATATTCCTTTTCAATGGCAGTTCAGTCTCAGATACATTTTGATTGTATAACTTTAAGAACTCATTCTGTGCCATTCTCTTTCCCATCCATGAAGATAGCATCTATCCAGGATAAAGACACTCCATTTTATGTTAACAGAGAGAGAATTTTATTAACTTTAGGGAGCGTATGAGCTAACTGAAATGCTGATATAGCGAGTGAGAATCTTTATTGTTAAGACAATATAATGATGTTTGTTATGCTCACCGTTATTACAATTTTATGCTTTAAAATAGATGTTCTCTTATCCTTATGTCTTGATTTGTTATAAAGCTAGCTTTGGGTGCCCTGGCACTCAGAGTAATCTTTGCCTAATAATGTGGCACATATTAAACTTGAGTATGGGTACACACTTGAAGAGGGACCAAATTCCAAAGTATCCAAGGAATGTGTATTACTAGAGATGCAGAACAGGGTAGTTGAAGAGTTGTATAACAGAGGTCAGGAGAATAAATATTCCACTGACTGGTTGTGGTTGGCTAGATTTTCTGGTATGCAGCAGAATGGTGGGAACATGCCTGAAAAAGAGAGTTCCAAGGTACTTTGTTGATGTGAGGCAGCTGAGCAGTTATTAGCAACAATAGAAGCATCATCCTGACCTCATTCTCTCTGTCTGTGGTTAACCTCCAGTAGTTCAGACGAAGGACCATTCTTTTTCTTCTCCCACTTCCTAAAGTCAAATTATGCATCAGTGTTGAAAAGCAAGATTCTTTCCTGAGTCTGCATGCAAGTTATTATCTTAAAGCATGTGATACAGATAGACTGTGTGCATAGCACATGTAGAGTGTCTCTCTTTTCAAACACTAGACATAGTTCTTCCAGAGCACTGACAGTGGCACACATCTGAGCAACTTGTATTTTTGCAATCTCTGCCATTGAATGGGGTGCTTCTCCTGAAGAAGAGAGTCCCCTGAGAATTAAAGCTGAAACTTCATACCTGTATATCTGTCTGCTTTTCCCTCTATTGCCATCTCACAGAATCATAGAATCATTAAGGGTGGAAAAGACCTTTAAGATCATCGACTCCAACCATCAGCCTAACACCACCATGCCCACTAAACCATGTCCTGAAGTGCCACGTCCACACATTTTTTGAACACTTCCAGTGATGGTGACTCCACCACCACCCTGGGCTGCCTATTCCAATATTTGATCGCTCTCTCCATAAAGAAATTTTTCCTAATACCTAGTCTAAACCTCCCCTGGCACAACTTGAGGCCATTTCTTCTCACCCTATCACTAGTTACTCGGGAGAAGAGACCAACACCCACCTTACCACAGCCCCCTTTCAGGCAGTTGTAGAGAGCAATAAGGACTCCCTTCAGCCTACTCTTCTCCAGAGTAAACAACCTCAGCACCCTCAGCCACTCCTCATCATACTTGTTCTCCAGACCCCTCACCAGCTTCGTTGCCCTTCTCTGGACACGCTCCAGCACCTCAATGTCCTTCTTGTAAGTGAGGGGCCTGACACTGAACACAATAGTAGAGGTGCAGCCTCACCGGTACCGAGTACAGGGGCACGATCACTGCCCTACTCCTGCTGGCCACACTATTGCTGATACAGGTCAGGACGCTGTTGGCCTTCTTGGACACCTGGGCACATGTTCAGCTGGCTGTTGACCAGCACCCCCAGGTCCCTTTCTGCTAGGCAGCTCTCCAGCCACTCCTCCCCAAGCCTGTAGCATTGCATGGGGTTGTTGTGACCGAGTGCAGGACCCGGCACTTGGCCTTATTAAACCTCATACAGTTGACCTCTGCCCATCGATCCAGCCTGTCCAGATCCCTCTGCAGAGCCCTCCTACCGTCCAGCAGATCAACACTCTCACCCAACTTGGTGTCATCTGCAAACTTACTGAGGGAGCACTTGGTCATCAATAAAGATATTGAACAAACCCAGCCCCAAAACTGAGCCCTGGGGAAACACCGCTTGTGACTGGTGTAATCTCCATCTGCTTCTCTTTCTGTTACAGCCTCCACAGTTTAAACTGGACCCACGATTAGCCCGTTTGCTGGGGATACACACCCAGACCCGATCAGCCATCATCCAGGCTCTTTGGCAGTACATCAAAACAAATAAGCTGCAAGACTCCCATGATAAGGAATACATTAACTGTGACAAGTACTTCCAGCAGGTAACTCCTTTTTGGACACAGTAGCTCTTTAGAGGCAAACTATACAAACTATACAAAATAAACTATGCAAACAATCTGCAAATTCTGGATGGATGGAAGTTACTGATTTTTGTCTTCCCTTAAAGATTTGCAGTATCTTCAGTACTGAATGGCTTTCAACAGTCACTACAACTAATATAAAAAGTGCCCTCCCGATGTGCCAATGTTGTCAAAAAAACACATCTGGTGGTTCAGCGCTCCCACATAAGTTGTGGCATTTACTGGAACGAGGCCTTTCTCTAGTTGTTTCACTGTATTGATTTACTGTTTGTTTTGGGTTTTTTTCCTCCTGATGTATCATTTCGTACTAAGAAACATGAAGTAATCTGCTGATTCTGATTACCAAGTCATATGTAGACCTGTTTTCTTCCCTTCTCTTTCC